CAGGCACTTATTTGTCATTGACCAAGAGAGAAGTGTGTATGATAGGGAAGAAGTGTTGGTTGTCATGATGAACAGGTGAAACTACGGTATTTAGTGGAAGGGAAGGAGGTCTTGTCATATGCCCTACACAATGAAGAGCTGTCCACAAACCATGTTTAGAACACATATTCTGATGAACTCTGAGAGTGTAGCCAATCAAAAATAAGGGGAGAGGATCCATTTGGTAAAGCATAGACTACAGAAAAAGTTATTCTTAAAGAAGAGAAAAGGGAGCCAGTGTTGTGAAGTAGTAGGCTAAGTCTCCACCTGCATCACCAGCATCCTGTTTGGCCAGCAGTTCATGTCCTAGCTGCTCCTCTTCCAATCCAGTGCTCCTCTAATGGGCTAGGAAGGCAATGGAGGATGGCCCAAGTTCTAGGGCCCCTGTATCCACGTGGGAGACCCGGAAGAAGCTCCTGGCTTCAGATCAGCTCACTTTGGCCACTGCAGCCATTTGGGGAGTGAACCAGCAGATGAAGACCTCTCCTTCTCCCTCTGTCTCTCTCTCTCTAACTCTGCATCTCAGATAAATAAATAAACCCTTAAAAAAATAGAGAGAAATGAGCTTAAGATAAATAAAGAGCAGGTAATTTCTAGAGAAGACCATCTAAAAACTATACTTCCAGAAGAGACCAACTCCATCAAAAACAAATGCAAGCAAAAAACACCTTTGTTATTCAAATGTTAACATGAAGCACAGAGACATCACCTGGTCTGTCCACGTTTGTGTCCAAACAACCCCACGGCCCACATTCTTGTCACCCCACTCTGCTCAGTGAGATATAAGCAGGAAAGCAGGGAGAAAAACCAGAGAAGAGCCCATCATGGCCATTATGACAATATTTTCTCTTTAAGTTTTCACAGTTATAGTTTATACATAATATCTCCCCTTTGTGTCTCACAGCATCTCTAATACCAAGATATATTTATCCAGAGTCAATGAACTAGAGTAGTTTGTAGAATGGAAAAAAAAGTCTGCACTGAAGCAGATCAGAGTGTGTGAACTGTACTTCATAGACTGCTGGAGGCTGTCTCAGACACAGGAGGGGAAGGAAACAAATGCCAAGGAAGTCAATTCCACAAAACAAAATTTCATTTTTACCCTTTCTCTCTTTAGAAGGGAATATTTGTATGTGGGGTCTTCAAAAGTAAACAGAAAATGTGTATTATGAAAAAACTGCACTGGTTTCAAATTTTTTGTACCAAAAATAATTTTAACTGCAGCGTTCTGAAGTGCCCTTGCATGTGCTTTTACCAAGGAAATGGCTCCCCATCCTTAAAAAATGCTTGAAAACCAAAAGATTATATGTGTTATTTTTTTTTTTTTAATTTTTTTTTAATAGGCAGAGTGGACAGTGAGAGAGAGAGACAGAGAGAAAGGTCTTCCTTTTGCCGTTGGTTTACCCTCCAATGGCCGCCACAGCTGGCGCACTGCAGCCGGCGCATCACGCTGATCTGAAGCCAGGACCAGGTGCTTCTCCTGGTCTCGCATGGGGTGCAGGGCCCAAGCACTTGGGCCATCCTCCACTGCACTCCCGGGCCACAGCAGAGAGCTGGCCTGGAAGAGGGGCAACCGGGACAGAATCCGGCACCCCAACCGGGACTAGAACCCGGTGTGCCAGTGGCGCAGGCAGAGGATTAGCCTAGTGAGCCACGGCGCCGGCTGATTATATGAATTATTAAACCATTTACTGTGCTCTGCTTTTTGAATTTACAGATAATCAGACATTTATCACTTTCAGTTTTAAAGGTGATAGGACACATCTTTCAAATTAACTGGAGTGAAAGAGAAGCAGAGGAGTGAAAAGTGAGGAGAACACATTAGAGCTCAGAGGTGGGTGAAACTTCTTAGAGATTCTTACCAGAGGTTGCCTGAAAGTAAGAGTCCTGAAGGGAAGAGACATAATCTCTTTGCACTTTGAGATGTAGTTGCACATGCATGTGATTACATGTACAAATGTGATTATTTATTATTCAGTAAATACAATTTAGTGTGAAAAAAGAATAAGAGGCCGGCGCCGCGGCTCAATAGGCTAATCCTCTGCCTGTGGCGCCGGCACCCCAGGTTCTAGTCCCAGTTGGGGCACTGGTTCTGTCCCGGTTGCTTCTCTTCCAGTCCAGCGCTCTGCTGTGGCCCGGGAAGGCAGTGGAGGATGGCCCAGGTCCTTGGGCCATGCACCCGCATGGGAGACCAGGAGAAGCACCTGGCTCCTGGCTTCAGATTGGCACAGCGCGCCGGCCGTAGCGGCCACTTGGGGGGTGAACCAACAGAAAAAGGAAGACCTTTCTCTCTGTCTCTCTCTCTAACTCTGCCTGTCAAAAAAAAAAGAAGCAAGAAGCAAGGAGCAAGAAGCAAGCAAGCAAGCAAGAATAAAGAAAGCAAACACCTAAGATACAATGTGTTTGGTAATGAAAAAAAGAGCAGCCAATCTCCCCAGGGTGCGGGGAAGTACAAAAGGGGGTGTATGGAGAGGAGGAGGAAAAGTGACTGAATCGGGGGTCTTTGAGAAATAGTAGGAGTTTGCCAGAAATAAAAAAAATATTTCAGGCAATGGGAAGAACGTGAGCAAGGGCACGGAGAAACGAAGGCATGTGGAAACTAAAGATCAAAGCGTTAACAAGGCAACACCAGATTGTGAAGTGCTTTAATCTCATGCCAAGAAGTTAGGCTCCATTATAGTAGACAGAAAAGTTTCTGACAAGGAATGATGTAACACAAGCACTGTGAAACAGCCTAATCTAATATTAAAATTTTTGAAACTGTAAAAATATTTAAAGTTTCCATTGGCTACAAAAATATATATGAGGGCAGGCACTGTGGTACAGCAAGTTAAACCACCATTAGCAATGCAAGCATCCCATACAGAATACTGGTTCAACTCCCAGCTGCTCTACTTTTGATCCCGCTTACTGCTAATGTGTCTAGGAAGGCAGCAGAAGATGGCCCAAGTGCTTGGGACCCTGTCTTCCATGTGGGAGATCAGTATGAACTTCCTGGCTGCTGGCTTTGGCCTCACTTAGCCCTGCCTATAGTGGGCACTTGGGAAGTAAACCAACAGATAGAAGATCTTTCTCTATCTCCTCTTTCTGTGTCACTGTGCCTTTCAAATACATACATATATACACAAATATTTAAATATATATGGGTAGGGCAAAGAGAAGACAACATTAATACAAGGACTCCTTAAAATAATCCTGAAGGTCCCACTGGTATATAAGCCACATCCAGTTAAGAGCCATGAGCTGGGGCCGACACTGTGGCACAGCAGGTAAAAACACCCCCTGTGACCACTGGCACCTTTAACAGGTGCTGGTTTGAGTCCTGGCTGCTCCACTTTCAATCCAGCTCTCTGCTAATGAACCAGGACAAGTAGCAGAAGATGGTTCAAGTGCTTGGGCCCCTGCACCCATGTGAGAGACCTGGAAGAAGCTTCTGGCTGCAGTCTGGTTCAGCCCTGGCTGTTGTGGCCATTTGGGAAGTGAACCAGAGAATAGAAGATCTCTCTCCCAAATCCCTCTCTGTAACTCTGCCTTTCAAATCAATTAATAACCTTATAAAATTTAAGCCATACACATTTTATGTATAAATCAATCTAAAAAACAAAACAAAACAAAAAACAAAAAACAAACAGAGCCATGAGTCTAGTTAAGAACTCACTAAGGAGGCACAGGCTTTGTGACCTAGCAGGTAAAGCCCACATACTGGCCTCCCCTGTGGGTGCCGATTCAAGTCCTGGCTGCTCTACTTCCAATCCAGCTCCCTACTAATGGCCTGGGAAAAGCAGCGAAAGATGGCCCAAGTGTTTGGGCTCCAGTCACCCACCTGAGAGACCTGGAAGAAGCTCCTGGCCCTGGATGTTGCTGCCATCTTGGGAGTGAACTAGCAGATGGATGATCTCTCTCTCTCCTTCTCTGTCTTTCACCCTCTTTGTAGCTTTGACTTTCAGATCAATAAATCTTAAATTAATAATTAATTAAAAAAAGAGCCACCTATGGGCAAGGATTATTTACTGTTCATTTCTCTTTGGCTCTCCAGGGCATGGGATAGAGTAGAACCAACCGGAATTGGTTTGTTATTAAGGAAATGGAAAAGACAAAGGATGACTTAGATTTCTGACTTAATATCTAGTAGGGAAGAGATGGAAGTTTTGTTTGGGAGATGTTACAATTCAGAAATCTACAGAACACTAGGTGTTCTGCTCATGCGGACAGACAGGAACTTGAGCATCACTATGTATGGTGTACTGGTAACAACCGAAGCCATGTGGGTGAGATGAAATATTCCAGCATGAACGGGGCCCAGTTCAGAATCTAGCAATCCCAGGGCAAAGATGAAACTGGAAACAGAGAAAGAACATTCAGAAAGGAGGAAGAGATACAAGAGAGGTGACATCTGAGTTTACGAAGGAAACATTCCAAAAAATACTGGTATGCTGCCAAACAATAATCAGAACGTTGGCTAGTATGAAAACTGTAGGCCGGCACCGCGGCTCACTAGGCTAATCCTCCGCCTTGCGGCGCCGGCACACTGGGTTCTAGTCCCGGTCGGGGCGCCGGATTCTGTCCCGGTTGCCCCTCTTCCAGGCCAGCTCTCTGCTGTGGCCAGGGAGTGCAGTGGAGGATGGCCCAAGTGCTTGGGCCCTGCACCCCATGGGAGACCAGGAGAAGTACCTGGCTCCTGCCATCGGATCAGTGCGATGCGGCCACTGGAGGGTGAACCAACAGCAAAGGAAGACCTTTCTCTCTGTCTCTCTCTCTCACTGTCCACTCTGTCAAAAAAAAAAAAAAACCTGTAGAGAGGCTACTAGATCTGATAAACATTCACTGGAATAGGGCATGAGTAAAGGACAGACTTAGTTGAAAAGTGAACAAAAAATGTAAAAAAGACAGAATAAGTACAGATCACTGTTTGTAAAGCTTGGCCACTGTTTCTAGTCAATGCATTGAGAAGAGCTTCCGCCATGTCCACGCATCTGCAACAGATGGTGATGCCCAACTGCTCCAGTTTCCTATCAAGAGGTTCAAGCAGACACAACACTGAACCCAGCAACCCAAAGGCCCACAATTCTTTCCTCTACAACATGTTGAATCATCACAAGACTATGGCTGTGGAGCTGGTAGCTGATAGCAGGGGTACTGTGGTAGTCATGAAGTGGACATCCAGTCAGTAAAAGCCAGCTACCTCCTACATATGGATCAACATCAACAAGAACGCACGGGCCCGCTCTCGGCAGCATAAGGCACATGATTCACAAGAGCCAACATTGTGCTGATGTACACATGGCTGACGCCCCCAGAGGCCATGCCATCGTGTGCAGTCAGAAGCCCATGATAGTATAGAGGAAGCCTACCTTCCCCGCCAAGAGCGCCAAAGCCTCTTCACCCCCAAAAGCAAATCAGACTATTTCTCACAAAGGAAGGGAGGGAAGGGGGGAAGGAGAGAGGGAGGAAAACTTATAAGGGGTGGGCATTTGGCCTAGCTTAGGCTGAGATAGCTGAGTCCCGTATCACAGCGCCTTGGTTCCACGCCTGAGTCTAGTTCCTGACTCCACCCTCCTGCTGATGCAGAACCTGGGAAGCAATGGTGATGTCTCAAGAAATGGGGTTCCTGCCACCCTCGTGGTAGTCCTGGATTGAGTTCCCAGACCCCAGCTTCAGCTCAAGCCTGTCTCAGCCATTATAAGCATTTGAGGAGTGAGCAAGGGACAGCAGTGTTCATTTTGTCCTTTCTTTCTATTTCCAGATATACATGTCGTCTCCTCTCTCTGCCTCTCAAATAAATAAAAAGCTTGGCAACAAAGGGAAAGAATGAGACCTTAGCAGTGTGACAGACAGTAAAGCAAGAAGGCATATACACATCCTGTGCATTTTCTGCTTTATGACTTGTGTCTACAGACTCCGAGAATGAGGGCTGCCTTTTTTTTTTTTTTTTTAAACAGATAGAGTTAGACAGAGAGAGAGAGACAGAGAGAAAGGTCTTCCTTCCGTTGGTTCACCCCCCAAATGGCCGCTACGGCTGGTGCACTGTGCCAATCTGAAGCCAGGAGCCAGGTGCTTCCTCCTGGTCTCCCATGTGGGTGCAGGGGCCCAAGCACTTGGGCCATCCTCCACTGCCTTCCCGGGCCACAGCAGAGAGCTGGACAGGAAGAGGAGCAACCGGGACTAGAACCCAGTGCCCATATGGGATGCCGGCGTTGCAGGTGGAGGATTAACCAAGTGAGCCACAGCGCCAGCCTGAGAGCTGCTTTTAATATTCTTAAAGCACCTGTCAAATGCCATATGGGTGCCAGTTCGAGTCTCGGCTGCTCCACATCTGATCCAGCTCTCTGCTGTGGGCTGGGAGAGCAGAAGATGGCTCAAGCGCTTGGGCCCCTGCACCTGCCTGGGAGACCCAGAAGAAGCTACTGGCTCCTGGCTTTGGATTGGCGCAGCTCCAGCCATTACTGCTATTTGGGGAGTGAACCAGCGGATGGAAGGCATACCTTTTTCACTCTCTCTGCCTCTATTTCTGTGTGTAACTCTGACTTTCAAATAAATAAATAACTCTTAAAAAAAAAAAAAAAAAAGCAGAGGCCAGTACTATGGCGTAGCAGGTTAATCTGCCATTTGCAGAGCTAGCATCCCATAAGTGCGTTGGTTCAGGTCCCAGCTACTCCACTTCTGATCTAAATCCTTGCTAATGAGCCTGGGAAAGCAGTAGCAGATGGCCCAAACTCTTGGGCCCCTGCACCTTCGTGGGAGACTCAGAAGAAGCTCCTAGCTTCGGTCTGGTCCACACCCAGCTGTTGTAGCCATTTGGAGAGTGAACCAGTGGATAGAAGATCTATGTAACTCTAAATTTCAAATCAATCAATCTTAAAACACACACACACACACACACACACACACACAAAACAAACCAGCAGCACTATTAGATCATTGTTTATAATGCAAAATAAATTAATTCTTCATTAAATTCCTGAGATAAAAGGAAGAACACTAGACTGAATCAATTAGTCATTAGAATCAAATCATTTACCTGCAAGGGGCAACTGTTTAAAAGAGGTCACACCCTGTTATACAATTCAACAAACTCTGTGAGCAACACTGGGAATGCTGTAAGATGTTACCTGAATTCCTTCACCCTGGGCTGCACAAGGACATACTCACCTCCATAGTAGAGTCCTGTAGCAGTGCACATCCGCCACTGTCCCTGATACATTCCTGCTCTGCTGGGGCTGCACATCTGGACGCTGACATCTGCAATCTCTTGGGGCTCTAGCGATCTCACCATCACCATGTTCACATGTCCAAACTGGTCTCCCCCGACATACTTAAGACAAACCCCTGGAGGCCAGGCCTCTGCCCCTGAGTTCAAGCAAAAGAAAAAAATGTTAGGCAATCAGTGGTCCTATGCTGAGTGAAGTTTATTATGAAACTGTAGAAGAGGCCTCTTTCTCTGTCTCACATACATGTAAACCTACCCAGATAATTCTTGGGCTACCCAATGTCTCATACAACTGATAAGAAGCAATTATCAGAATCAACAACCTCTGACTAACAATCTACCCTGTGAGAATGAACACATAACAAAAGCGAGGCAGTTCCTCAAGAAGATGTGTGTTTCCAGCGACCTCAGGAACAGCCATCCATCCCATTGATTCTGCAGGACCTAAGAATGATGTCCATGAAGAGGCACGGGGATGAAACACAGACTCACAGTTTCAGGGACTGTTCTCTCTACTCAAAGGTAACACATGTCCACTTTCACTACAACTTTTTAAGCTGACATTCAAAGTAAAGTATGTCGGACTGTTCTCAGTTTGAAGAAGATGAAACATACAAGGGGTAAATTCTAAGACATTATTCTCACTTTAAAACTGTTGTTTGCCTGATGTGTGACTTTTCTTCTGGTGTCCTCAACTCTAAAATACCCACTCTCAAGAGACAACGCAAACATAACATAGAGGAATAAAGTTCAGATCTCAACAGTGGTGGGGAAACTACAAACAATAGAGTGCTCCTCCCTGTAAGCACATCAGTGACTTGTGGTCCCAGGAGAATGGCACCAGCTACTGGTGCTTGTGTAAAAGATGAGACTAGCAATACAAAAGGCTTTGGGGGGCTGGCACTGTAGGGTAGCAAGTAGAGCTGCAGCCTGCAGTGCAGGTATCCCATATGGGTACCGGCTCAAGTCTCGGCTACTCCACTTCCAATCCAGCTCCCTGCTGTGGCCTGAGAAAGCAGTACAGGATGGTCCAAAATCCATGGGCTCCCATACCCAAGTGGGAGACCGGGAAAAAGATCCTGGCTTTGGATCAGCCCAGCTCTGGTCGTTGCAGCCATCTGGGGAGTGAACCAACAGATGGAAGACCAACTTCTCTCTGCCTCTCTGTAACTCTGCCTTTCAGTGGAGGATGGCCCAAGTGCTTGGGCCCTGCACCCCATGGGAGACCAGGATAAGTACCTGGCTCCTGCCATCGGATCAGCGCGGTGCGCCCGCCGCAGCGCACTGGCCGCGGTGGCCATTGGAGGGTACCTACGGCAAAAGGAAGACCTTTCCCTCTGTCTCTCTCTCAATGTCCACTCTGCCTGTCCAAAAAAAAAAAAAAAAAAAAAAAAGATCAAATAAATAAATCTTTAAAATACATCATTTTTTTTAAAGGCTTTGGTAGGAATGTTGTTCTTCTTTTGAAGTTTCAAACATTTTATTTGGTATGTGCCTATTTTCATGTTAACTAATACAAATGAGGAATCTGTATTGACTGGTTCTGACTAGTTAAGCAGTACAGAAAGCCAGAAACAATGTGAAAAGCTAGACATGGCAGCACTCTTAGGAAAGAGGGTTTTCATAATTTATCTCCTACCAGTATTCCAGGATACCTCAGTTCTCTGCTCTTAAAGTGGCACACTGGTTTCAGTACGCCTGATAGCTCTCTACAGTAAAGGAACCAGGGTAGAAAATCAACCAGAATTCTCCTGCCAAGATCTATTATAAACAGCAGTCTCTGTGGCCCTACAGTCCTATGAGGTAAAAACTAAAGCAGAGGCCACTACGTCTTGGCATACCCTCTTTTTAAAAACCTGCAGGCAAAAAGTACTCTTACATAAACACTTTAGAAAGGTTGTGGATGATACGCTGGCAATACATGCATACTCTGTTGTTCACTTCTGGGACCCGTGGTCTGGCAAAAGCATATTTATCTCAGATCAAGAAAAACAGTAACTAACAAAAACCTTAGAAATGCTGGTCTCTTTAAAGACCAAGAGCCAAGAGAAAATTTAAGCTACTATTACAGGACTATAGTCAACAATTATTCCTTAAAACACATACACAGATACACAAATCCATAACAAGACAATGTCTGCCAATACAAAAACCCAAGAATGTGTCTGTTTTCAAACTTCAAAGAAAGCAAAGCAAACCAAAACTGATGGAGTGAGAAACACTAAGCTGTCCTGGACAAACTCAAGTAGCTGAAATCTCTTGGTTGTGCACAAGAGGGAGCACTACTATATTCCAGGGAAACTGAGTTGGCAAAACATCAACAATAAGTGATTTGGATAGGCTCTTGCTCTTAGAATTCCAAATACTAATGTGGTGCATGAAGAGCCTCATTTAAAAAAAAAAAAAAAAAAAAATGACAGCTGTCTACCATCAACCCTAAATTGTTAATGTACTGTGAAGTAAAAAGCCAATTATCAGGCCAGCGCTGCGGCTCACTAGGCTAATCCTCCGCCTTGCGGCGCCGGCACACTGGGTTCTAGTCCCGGTTGGGGCGCCGGATTCTGTCCCGGTTGCCCCTCTTCCAGGCCAGCTCTCTGCTGTGGCCCGGGAGTGCAGTGGAGGTTGGCCCAAGTGCTTGGGCCCTGCATCCCATGGGAGACCAGGAGAAGCACCTGGCCCCTGCCTTCAGATCAGCGTGGTGCGCCAGTCGCAGAGTGCCAGCTGCGGCGGCCATTGGAGGGTGAACCAACAGCAAAGGAAGACCTTTCTCTCTGTCTCTCTCTCTCTCACTGTCCACTCTGCCTGTCAAAAAAAAAAAAAAAAAAAAAGCCAATTATCTATCTATCTGCCTTTTGAATTATCAAGGATGTATACACTTCTTACAGGGGCTGGCTTTATGGCTTATCAGGTTAAGTCACTATCTGCAATACTGGAATCTCATATAGGCATGGGTTCAAGTCCTAGCTGCTCCACTTCCAATCTAGCTCTGGGCTAATATGCCTGGGAAAGCAGCGAAGAATGGCCCAAGTCTTTGGGCCTCTGCACCCACATGGGAGACCCAGATGAAGCTCCTGGCTCCTTTCAGCCTGCCCCAGTGCTGGCCAATGCAGCCATTTGGGGAGTGAACCAGCAGATGGAAGATCTCTCTCTCTCTATTTCTCATTCTAGATTTAACTTTCCCTTTCAAATAAATAAAAATAAATCTCTCTGTGTGTGTGTATGTTATATACTTTCCTACATTCGCACTGATAGGTCAGCTGACTGAAAAGACTAAGGATACTATATGATTAATATAGAAGAAAGGGAAACAATGGTGACCTGCTTGTACCACTTATCTAAGCAAAACTGAAATGTAGATTTGAGAAGTATAATACAACAGGACTTCAAATAAGGCTCAGCTACAAACTGTCTTAATGGAAGATTGATCTATCCATGAAGACTAACCTGTTTTTTTGACTTTCCAGGTATCACAATTAGGTATATGACTAAGATGATGAGTCTCCCGTTATCTTAGAAGAATTCATTGAGGGCCGGCACTGTGGCGCAGTGATTTAAAGTCTCCGCCTGCAGCACCAGCATCTCATATGGGCACCAGTTTGCAACCCAGCTGCTCCACTTCCAATCCAGCTCCCTGCTAATGTGACTGGGAAAGCAGCAGAGGATAGCCCAAGTTCTTGGGCCCCTGCACCCACATGGGAGACCTGGAAGAAGCTCCTGGCTCCTGGCTTTGGATTGGTTCAGCTCTGGCCGTTGAGGCCATTTAGGGAGTAAAACAGCAGATGGAAGATCTCTCTCCCTCAATGCCCCGTAACTCTTTCAAATAAATAAAATAAATCTTAAAAAGAAAAAAAAGAATTCATTTAGTTTTTTACTATGGAATTTTTTTTTATTTGACAGTGAGAGGGAGAGACAGAGAGAAAGGTCTTCCTTCTGTTGGTTCACTTCCCTAACAGCTGCTATAGCCAGCACTGTGCTGATCCAAAGCCAGGAGCAAAGTGGTTCCTCCTGGTCTCCCATGCGGTGCAAGGACACAAGCACTTGGGCCATCCTCCACTGCCCTCCCGGGCCACAGCAGAGAGCTGGACTGGTAGAGAAGCAACTGGGACTAGAACCCGGCACCCATATGGGATGCCGGCATTGCAGGTGGAGGATTAACCAAGTGAGCCACGGCACTGGCCTACTATGGAATTTTTAAAAACCTATTGTGGGGTCTGGCATCATGGGGCAGTCGCCTGTGACACCAGCATCCCATATGGGCACCAGGTCAAGTCCTTGCTGCTCCATTTCTAATCCATGTCTCTACTAACGCATCTGGGAAAGCAATAGAGGATGGTCCAGGTGCTTGGGCCCGTGCACCCAAATGAGAGACCCAGATGAAGCTCCTGGCTCCTGACTTTAGCTTAGCCAAGACCTGGCAGAAGCAGTCATTTTGGGAGTGAACCAACAGATGAATGATCTCTCTCTCACCATCTTTCCCTCTCTCTTTTTCAAATAAATAAATAAATGTTAAAAAAAAAAAAGGAGAAAAAATCTATGGTGGCAATTTTGAGATGAGAGAAAGCATTATAAAGGTCAAATATGGGGGCCGGCACTGTTGTGCAGTGGGTTAATGCGCTGGCATCCCATATGGGAGCCGGTTTGAGTCCTGGCTGTTCCATTTCCGATCTAGCTTTCTGCTATGGCCTGGGAAAGCAGTAGAAGATGGCCCAAGTCCTTGGGACCCTGTACCCATGTGGGAGACCCAGAAGAAGCTCCTGGCTCCTGGCTCCTGGCTTCGGACTGGCACAGCTCTGGCTGCTGCGGCCATTCAAGGAGTGAACCAGCAGATGGAAGACCTCTCTCTGTGTGTAACTCCTTCAAATAAATAAATTAAAAAAAAAAAAAAAGGTCAAATATGGGGAGGTGGTGGTGTGGCACTGATTGGAATACCAACATCCCATATTAAAGTGCTTGATTTGAGTTCTGGCTCCTACACGCCTACACTTCTAATACAGCTTCCTGCTCTTGCACATCCTAAGAGGCAAGTGATAGCTCAAGTACTTGGGGTTCCTGCCACACACATGAGAGACCCAGAGAGAGTTCCGGGCTCCTAGTTTTGGTCTAGCCCAGCCCTGGCTATTGTGGGCATTTAGGGAGTGAACCAGTGAAATGAAAGATTTCCCTCCCTCCATCCCTCTCTTTCAAACAAAATGCAAATAAATTAATAAAAAATAAAATAAAAAGTCAAAAAAGGAGCCCAAATCGCATTTTGGAGTGTCTGAGTTCCAGCTCTGCTTTATGAATCCAGCTCCATGGGAGGCAGTGGTAACGACTCAAATAGTTGGGTCCATGCCAGCGATACGAGACACCAGGATTGGGTTTCAGGCTCCTGGCTTCAGTCTAGCCCAGTCTTAGCTGTTGAGGGCATTTGGGGAATGAATCAGCAAATACAATATATGTTTGTCTCTCTCTGTCTTTGAAATAAAACTAAAATAAAAAAGATACAAAATTTTTCTTAAAAACAAAAAGGTAAGGGGCTGGCGCTGTGGCGTAGCGGGTAAAGCTGCTGCATGCAGTGCCAGCATCCCATATGGGCACCGGTTCGAGACCTGGCTGCTCCACTTCTGATCCAGCTCTCTGATATGGCCTGGGAAAGCAGTAGAAGATGGCCCAAGTCCTTGGCCCCTGCACCCACGTGGGAGACCCAGAAGGAGCTCCTGGCTCCTGGCTTCGGATTAGTACAGCTCCAGCTGTTGCAGCCAATTGGGGAGTGAACCAGTGGATGGAGGACCTCTCTCTCTCTCTCTCTCTCTGCCTCTCCTCTTTCTGTGTAACTCTGCCTTTCAAATAATAAAAAAAAATAGAAAAAAAACTTAAAAAAAGGTTAAATAAAAGTCCACAGTTTCAAAAAATTAAGTGATTATAGTAAAAGTTTGGAGAAGAGGAGAGGTAGGAAGCTCCAAACACAAAGAAAGGATAAGGAAATCGGGGCTGGTGGTATGGTGTGGCTGATAAAGATTTCTGCAATGCCAGCATCCTGTATCAAAGTGGTGGCTCATACCCTGGATGCTCCACTTCTGATCCAGATTCTTGCTAATGTGCCTGGGAAGACAGCAAAAGATGGCTCAAATACTTGGGCACCTATTGCCCCTATAGGACGTCAGAGTGGAGTTCCTGGCTTCTGGCTTCAGCCTGGTCCAGATCTGGCTGCTGGGATTTTAGGGAATGAACCAAGGGATGGGAGATCCCTCTTTGCCCTGTGCCTCTCTCTCTCTGCAGCTCTGATTTTCAAATAAAGGAGAGAGAAGAAAGGAAGGGATGGAGGGAGGGGGGGAAGGAATGGCTAGTTGCCTGCTTTGGTTTACAGATGTACATGTGTTAAAATACAGTACTATACCCTTTAAAAGTATACAAATATTGGGGCCGGTGCTGTGGCATAGCAAGTCAATCCACCACCTGCAATGCTGGCACCTCACATGCATGCTGTTTTGAGTCCTGGCTGTTCCACTTCTGATCCAGCTCTCTGCTATTGTGCCTGGGAGGGCAACCAAGGATGACCCAAGTCCTTGTGCTCCTGCATCCATGAGGAAGGCCTGGAAGAAGCTCCTGGTCCCTGGCTCCCAGCTCCTGGCTTCTGGCTTAGGATCAGCCCAGCTCTGGCCCTTGCAGCCATTTTGGGAGTAAACCAGCGGATGGAAGATCTCTCTCTTTCTCTGTTTTTCTGTAACTCTAACTTTCGAATAAATAAATCTTTTTTAAAAAATTCAAGTATTTCATGTTAATCAAAATGTAAAAGAGAGGCCAACACTGTGGCATACCGAGTTAAAGCTGTCTGTGAAACTTACATCCCATATAGGTGCTAGTTTGAGTCCCAGCTGCTTCACTTCTGATCCAGCTCCCTGAAATGCTCTGGGAAGAAGCAGTAGAAGATGGTCCAAGTGTTTGGGCCCCTGCCACCCTCATGAGAGACCTGGAAGAAGTTCCTGGCTTTGCCCTGGCACAGCACTGGCTGGTGTGGCCATCTGTGGAGTGAACCAGCAAATGAAATATCTCCCCCACCCGCGCCATTAACTCTTTCAAAGTAAGTAAGTAAATGTTTTCTCGAAAATCAAAAGAATAAAATAATTCAACTTTAACAGTTTGGAGACAGTAAGGGACATCAAAATAGCAATGCAGAAGCTGGCGCTGTGGCATAGCAGGTAAAGCTGCCGCCTGCAGTGCCGGCATCCCATATGGGCACCAGTTTGAGTCCCAGCTGCTCCATTTCTGATCCAGCTCTCTGCTATGGTCTGGGAGAGCAGCAGAAGATGGCCCAAGTCCTTGGGCCCTGTACCTGCGAGGGAGACCCAGAGGAAGCTCCTGGCTCCTGGCTTCGGATCAGAGCAGCTCCAGCCGTTGTGGCCAATTGGGGAGTGAACCAGTGGTTGGAAGACCTCTCTCTCTCTCTCTCTGCCTCTCCTTCTTTGTGTAACTCTTTCAAAAAAATAAATAAATCTTTAAAAAATAGCAATGCAAAAGGCAAACCTTGATTAGGATCATCTTTTTAACCCCTGTGAGTACAGAGACTACCTTTCAAAGTAAGCTACATGACAGCAGAGACCTTCATGATCTTGTTACTATTCCTCCCCTATACCTCATAAAGTGACTGAAACATACTCAAATGTGTTGAATGAATAAAACTATACCTGAAGAGAAAATTTTAATGAGCTAAAAGAAAAACAGGGGAAAGCAGTTGTTCTTAAAATCTTTTTCCAATCCCATTTTTATTTACTCTGTGTCCTTCGAAAAATAAAGATGACTGGATCAATGCACCCAAACTACTCTCTCATATGACAGTAACAACTGTCTCATCAAAGTAGGAGAAATAGTAAGGTTGTGGTAACATGCTCAGCTTAACTTTGGCTACAGTTGGACTACAAAACACGGCACTGGCACAACAGGGAAGCCATAAGTGTGGATAAACAGGATTCTATCCAGTGACATTTTAAGAGGGAGAGTGTCAAATTTACACTTTCACTTCCAACCATAAGGTTTACTGCTCAGGTTTCCCATGTTTCCAATATCTAGAGCAACAAAAATTTGGATTCTGGAGTTTGCATTTATGTTATTAAATGTCTCAATTCTGGTTCTGTCTGAAACTAAGAATTCTTTAAATATTAAGAGTTTACTTTTAAACAATGTGAGATATTTACCTTCTGCAAGAAAGCTGTTGGGACAGTTATATAGTTTGTACAACCTCATCTGGTATACATGTGGATGTCTAAAACATGACAGCAGAGAGGTGTCCTAAAAATTGTTATTTCTGTAACTTTCAGCAAGCACTTACCTCTTAGGGGAGGTTGTGAATGAGAGTAAGAAAACCAGAGGAGACACAGCTGAGCCTGCCCTACTTCTGTGTGACAACTCCATTTCCAGAAAGGACTTGGGCCAGACTGGGACGATGTCAAAGAACCAGTGCACGTGCATGTTCTCCCTCACTCGAATAACACCCATTCCTGGGTCACCAGAGGCCTCGCTCTAGTAACACACCCATTACTTGGTTATCCGAGGTGTTTCCTCAACCAAGTGGAGAACATTTGCTTTAGAGATATAAAACTACTTTACAACTCGTTGAACAATTTCCAGAATAATTAAAAACCTATTTATGTAAAGTACCTTGAAAGATAAAATCTCCAGCAGCTATGCCCAACCTTTCAAAGGATATTCTAACACAAGGAATGTCCTTTTACAGGAAGAAAGGCTGCAGACTCAAGCTGTTTTGAAATGAAATTACAAAGCAGAAGCAGGAAGATAAAGCACTGAGGTTCACCAATAGTGATTTTTCCAAGTCAAAGTAAGAGGCAGGCTCTTATAGTTCTGTTAGATGTTCTAACCATTATAGATCAACCTCTCCTAATCTGCCCCTCACCGACACAAGGAACTGTCCAGAAAGTGAGCAGAAATACCAAGAGGCTTTTGAAATATAAAATGGTTATTCTGCAACAACAGTATTTAAAAACTACTCTGACAACTAAAGAACTCATGGAAAGCCAGACCATTTCCAGTGTTTTCACTGTACATAAACAAGGTATTGGCTTAACTTCAAAACAATTAAAACTTTTTAACATCTTTCTTTCCAAACACATTCTATCTGCATTAAATATTTTTCATGCTCAGGCTTCACAAAAGTATTTTTATTAGTAATTTAGAGAAAAAACATGAATAAAGTTAAACTGAAGAAACAGGGCTGATATTTAAAACAAGTGAAATTAAGAAAGGGGAGAGAGAAACCAAAGATATACAGATGCTGAATAGAAAGAAATTTAAAAAAAAACAAACAACAGGCTATTTTCCCTCTACCATGTAGCTCCTGAACTAACATTGCCCCACTGCCATAACCAACAGGGGGAAGGACTTGAAAATTTTACAAAGCCACAATTATTCTAAGTCATCCTCCACAATGGGTCAGTCCAAATGTAGTTAGTAACACTCTGAACTCTCCTCCAAAGGAGAGTTTTTACTTAAAGCAGAAAAACAAAGGCTAACAATTAAATGTGGTACATTAATTCTTTTCTGAAAGGCTAGTTTAGGGGCGGGCACTGTGGCATGGTGGGTAAAGCTGCTGCCTGCGACACAGACATCTCATATGGACACTAGTTCATGTCCTGGCTGCTCTACTTCTGATAAACCTCCCTGCTAATGGCCAGGGAAAAAGCAGTGAAGAATGGCCCAGTATTTGGGTCTCTGACACCCACATGTGAGACCTAGATAAAGCTCCTGGCTCCTGCTTCAGCCTGGCTCAGTTGTGGCCATCTGGAGAGTGAACCAGCCGGTGGAATATCTCTCTCGCCCTCTCCCTCCCTCTGTAACTGACTATCAAAATAAATAAATCCTTTAAAAAAAAAAAAAAAAGGCTAGTTTAAGCAGTCTTTCCCCATCATAAAGAAATGATTTATAAGGGCCGGTGCCATGGCACAGTAGGTTAATCCTCCGCCTGCGGCGCCGGCATCCCATGTGGGTGCCGGTTCTAGTCCCAGCTGCTCCACTTCCGGTCCAGTTCTCTGCTGTGGCCTGGGAAAGCAGAAGATGGCCCAAGTCCTTGGGCCCCTGCATCCACATGGGAGACCTGGAAGAAGCGCCTGGCTCCTGGCTTCGGATCGGCACAGCTCCAGCCGTTGCGACCACTTGGGGAGGGACCAACGGAAGGAAGACCTTTCTCTGTCTCTCCCTCTCACTATCTGTAACTTTAAACTCTCAAATAAAATAAATAAAATCTGGGCCGGCGCCGCGGCTCACTAGGCTAATCCTCCGCCTAGCGGCGCCGGCACACCGGGTTCTAGTCCCGGTTGGGGCGCCGGATTCTGTCCCGGTTGCCCCTCTTCCAGGCCAGCTCTCTGCTGTGGCCCGGGAGTGCAGTGGAGGATGGCCCAGGTGCTTGGGCTCTGCACCCCATGGGAGACCAGGAAAAGCACCTGGCTCCTGGCTCCTGCCATCGGATCAGCGCGGTGCGCCGGCCGCAGCGCGCCAGCCGCGGCGGCCATTGGAGGGTGAACCAACGGCAAAGGAAGACCTTTCTCTCTGTCTCTCTCTCTCACTGTCCACTCTGCCTGTCAAAAAAAAATAATAATAAATAAAATAAAATAAAATAAATAAAATCTTTGAAAAAAAAAAAAGAACTGATTTATAAAGAATTGAAAAGTAAACTGAGTTGGGCTGGCTCTGTGGCGTAGTAGGTTAAGCCTCTGCCTGTGGCACAAGCATCCCATATGGGTGCTAGTTTATATACTAGCTGTTCCTCTTCCAAGCCATATCTCTGCTAGTGGCCTGGGAAAGCAGAAGATGGCTCAAGTGCTTGGGCCCCTGCACTCACGTGGGAGACCTGGAAAAGGCTCCTGGCTCCAGATCAGCCCAGCTCTGGAAGTGGTAGCCATTTGGGGAGTGAACCAGCAGATGGAAGACCTTTCTTTCTGTCTCTCCCTCTATCTGTCTGGAACTCTGCCTCTCAAATAAATAAATGAAATCTTTAAAAAAAAATAAGAAAGAAAAATAAACAAAAGGTCACTATTTAAACTAACTTGAGTCCTCAGAGTTTTATATCATCTCCATCAAATTTCCTTGCTAGGGGACCAGCATTGTGGCTCAGTAGGTTAAGCCATCACTTGCAATGCCAACATCCCATGTCAAAGCACAGGTTCAAGTCCTAGCTGCTCCACTTCTGATCCAGCTCTCTGGAAGGTAGTAAAAGATGGCCAGAGTGCTTGGGTCCATGACACCCATGTGGGAGACCTGGTTGTTGAGGCCATTCCGGGAGTGAATGAGCAGATGGAAGATCTCTGTCTCTCCCTAACTCTGTCTTTCAAATAACTAACAACTAACTAACTAACTAACTAACTAACTATTTCTGGTACTGGAGTCATGCTGCAGCAGGTTAAGCCACCAACCACATGTATCCCATGAGCGAGATTCAAATCCCAGCTGCTCCACTTCCAATCCAGCTCCCTGGTAATGCACCTGGGAAAGCCCAGGAACATGATCCAAGTCCTTGAGCCCCTGAAACCCACGTGGGAGAGCTGAATGGAGTTCTAGGCTCCTGGCTCCGGCCTTGCCCAGTCCTGGCCATTGAGGCTATTTGGAAGAGTGAACCAGTAAATCGAATATCTCTTTCTGTCTATGTGACTCTGCCATGAAAATAAACCTTATAAAAAAACTTCCTTGCTAGATAATAAATACCCCCCTCCACACACACACATTTTAGCTAGACTCCTTTTTTCCTATTTTCCATCTCTCAGAATTTCCCTCAAAGTCCTCACTAACAACAAAGTCAAGTTAGGGCCAGCGTTATGGCGTAGCACGTTAAGTCTCCACCTTCAAGTTCGGGCTGCTCCACTTCCAATCCAGCTCCCTGCTAATGCGTCTGGGAAAGCAGCAGAGGATAGCGCAGGTACGTGGGCCCCTGCACCCAAATGGAAGACCAGGAGGAAGCTCTGAGCTCCTGGTTTCAGCCTAGCCCAGGCCTGACTGTTGAGGCCCTTCTGGGAAGTGAACCAGCAGATGGAAGATCTTACTCTGGGTCTCTCATCCTCTCTCTGTAACTCTGCCTTTCAAATAAAATTTTTAAAAATAAATTTTTTTGAAAAGTTAAAGCACTCTCAGCATAAATTGTCACTGGATGGGATAAGAGACACTACACCCATTCAAACTTTTTTTTTAACACTCAAACTTAATAAGTCATTAATTTTAACAAGTAACAACTGATAACAATCACCAGATACATATCTACATATTATTTTCCAAAACACTATCATTAACTCATTTCTTATGTATCTTAAAAGAAGCAGTACATCATAATAGTGTTACTTAAAAAAACAGTAATTTCCCATTCTGAGAAAAATTCCCATACTTCTCATTCTTTCAAAGCAGTATTAACACCTCAGATAGCTAACCTCTAAATTTCAGAGAAAATCATCTTTGTGATCACAAAAAAATGAGCTTTTGAAAGAACATATGCTCACAGATCCTTCCAACTATCTAGTTCTATTCAAGGATATACCACCTCGAGCCTGCTGGAAATGACTGAAGATTAATTAGAGCAGAAATAAAGTGATGGAGTAGAACTGTTCAGGTTGAGACAGACCTAATGAATGCTGGATTATGTTTAGATGCCATCAAGTCATAGGACGCTTATAGGCCTGGAACCTAAATTCTTTCTATTCTAGAGCAGGAGTAATTCTGATGTTTGGTCATCACACCTGCAGAGAAAATCTGCCTATCACATATAAGAAAAAGATCAGAGTTACATAATCACATATGTAACCTAAAGCACTTTCTTCTTATTTTTTTGAACTATTAAGAAACAGGAAACTGGGTAAGGAAGATTTACCCATTATACACTTACCAGAATTCTGGATCCGCCATGTTTTTATAAACTGAGTATCAGGAGGAATTGATTCCCCTTCTCCTATGGTGACATCTTCAACAAAGGACATGGAGGGCACACTGATATTTGGGCTCTCAAAGTCATAATAGGCTCCAATTGCTGCTTGCAGGTTCCTACAAATAAAGAGAGAAGGCGGGAAAACATCAGCACTGTTCTGAGAATACTATCCCGATTTTCAAACAAAAAGAAAAAGCCTGGGGGCGGGTGCTAGGCATCATGGTTAAGAGGCAATAGGGATGCTCATATCCTACAACAGAGTGCCTTGGTTCAAGTCCCAGCTCTGACTCCCTCATTGCAGCTTCCTGCTAATGCAGACCCTGGGAGGCAGCATATGATGGTTTGAGTACTTATATTGCTTCCACCCACGTGGGAGACCTAGACTGAGTTCCTGGCTTCAGTCTGGCCCAGTCCTGGCTGTTATAGACGAGTGAACCAGAAGCTGGCAGATACCTGTCTGCCTTTCAAATAAGTAAATTAAAAAAAAAAAAAAAAGTAAAAAGTCTGTTTTTTAAAAATTTGTCACAGAACCTGAGGTTTCTGGTATGCAAGACTTCAAAGTCATTGATTCTGGTTGGGTAACAATAGGGAAAAGAAGAGGACCAACAAACTTTGGCCTCACTTTCTTCCCAAGATACCCACAGAGAAACAAACAATACTAGTAGTACCAACAGAAACAATGTAAGGAAGTCTGTTAACCATAGGATAGCAATAATGAGTAAGAAGTCAAGGGAATAAAGAGCTTCTATAGCTGAAACTATAGGGTTCAAAGAAGCTCCACTCTTAAAATATTCTAATTGTTTAATTTCCTAAGAAAGTAATACATGCACAAGGTTCCAAAAATTTCATACAATGAAAAGTAACCATCGTTTCGGGCGGGTGCCCCATCGTTCCTACACACACACACACACACACACACACACACACAAGCATTCAAATGACTTTCTGAAATATCCTTCTCAAACTTGCTTAGGCATATACAATCAAATATGATACAAGAAAGGGTATTGCAAAAGTTTGTGGAAAATGTATAATGTGAATAAACTATGCATGGATTTCAAGATTTTTTACATCAACATAAATGTATCTTTTCTTTTGGAAAGATTTATTTATTTGAAAGTCAGAGTTACAGAGAGAGAGAGAGAGAGGTCTTCGATCCGCTGGTTCACTCCCCAATTGGTCGCAACGGCTAGAGATGCACTGGCCTGGAGCCAGGAGCTTCTTCCGGGTCTCCCACACGGGTGCAGGGGCCCAAGGACATGGGCCATCTTCTACTGTTTTCCCAGTCCATAGCAGAGAGCTGGATAGGAAGAGGAGCAGCCGGGACTAGAACCCGCGCCATATGGGTTGCTGGCACTTCAGGCCAGGGCTTTAACCTGCTGTACCACAGCACCGACCCCTGGATGCATTACTCTTTAACTAGTTTATTTTCCATTTGCTTCCAATCTAATTGTTCCATAGTAAGCTTATGCACATTGTTCTGTATATGTGCAAGCAAGTGTATCCATGGGATAAATTCCTTAAGTTATATTGATGGGTAAAAGGGTCTATGTTTATGGTTTTAACAGTTATACCCAAGCCTCCATCAAAAGTTGTACACAATGTGCTCACAGAAATGTTCAAGAATGATCACCAACAGTGTTTTTCCAACATTTTGAATTTCTATCAGTCTGATAGATTAAAAATATTGTATCTCCGGGCTGGCACCGTGGCTCACTTGGTTAATCATCCATCTGCGGCGCTGGCATCCCATATGGGTGCCGGGTTTTAGTCCCAGCTGCCCCCTCTTCCAGGCCAGCTCTCTGCTGTGGCCCAAGAAGGCAGTGGAGGATGGCCCAAGTACTTGGGCCCCTGTACCCGCATGGGAGACTGGGAGGAAGCACCTGGCTCCTGGCTTCGGATCAGTGCAGCGCCGGTCATGGCGGCCATTTTGGGGGTGAACCAACAGAAGGAAGACCTTTGTCTCTGTCTCTCTCTCTGTCTGTAACTACCTGTCAAATAAAAAATATATATATTATATCTCAGTAAGGCCTCAAAATGCTTTCCCCATTACAGTAAAAACTGAGTGTCTTTTTTACATACTTAAGAGCCATTTCTAGTTTGGTTTTTGGAAGTACCATTATGTAAGTGTAGTGTTCTTTTTAATTACTCACAAACCACCTTTTGTCATGTCAGAAAGAACTACACCAAGCACATAAATCAGCATCCCCAACTGAACAGAATCACATGACTGACAGCTTGGTTCCTCAGTGCCAGGAACTAAAGGCCACTCAAGGGTTTTTAAGTAAGCTATGTTCATCACAGAGATCAAAGAAATTGCTAGTGATAACATCTGTTGTTTCTCTTATGGTTCTTACGGTTCTCTTACTCGAACCAGTGACATCATCCCCGGTTCCCACAGTGGACAATACCACAAACTGCATGTTTCTAAACATAACCAACCGTATGCCAATGGATCCAGTGGGCTGTTTCTAATTATGCATAAACACAGCAGGAAACAAGCTCTGAGAGTACCCAACTGTTCAACAGACATGCCACAGCAGCAAACATGTTACTGCTGGGGCCTGCCTATTCCTCCAGGTGTGCAGCTGCTGGAGAGGAAGGCTATATTTAGAGCAGATACCTGAAGTGGAGCCTCGTGCAATTGTGGGCTGTCACATTAGTCAGTAAGGACTGAAATTACAACACGACCAACTGCCTGTTAATGTGTGTGTTTGGTGAAATTTACATGGAGGTGAGCTAGGCCACCAGCCAAACTCCACCTTGTTTACACTGGCTGTTCAATAAGAAGGCTTGGACTTTAGCTGTCCCGACAGTTTCCTATCTAGCTGACTGTAATATAAACTGAAGAACATGTGACTGATCAAATTTGGGGCAGTGTTGTCCCTACAATCCACAAGCAGACTTAAAATACTATCTGGGATCATCTTAGACTTAGGGATTGAGAATAAAAGAAAAATAAGCTTAGCTTGCAATTTGTTCTCTAGAAAATATTCTATCCACCTTTACATAAAAATAATTTCTCTGTTGCAGGTATCCACCAAGTAGCTTGCTAAATTTTCTGCTTGGCTGTAAAGTATTCTTGGGAGGGAAAAGACTATTTGTGTACTCAGGACAATTGCCAATTCTCATTCCCAGCCTGTGTCATATTTCACTCCTAACATCTGCCTCTACCAGCAGGACTCTGAGACCACTGCAGTAGCAGCATTAGCAAGTAGAAAAGTCAAGCTATACCACGTAGGCAGATTCATCCCCTTCCTCTTATCTCCTTTTACAAACAGCAGCTCATCCCATAGCCAAAGTTAACAGACTGCTTTCTTGCACCTGTATTCTAAAGGTAATCTGGCCAGAGAAAGCTTAAGGAACATTTTTAAAGTCCAAAACGAAACTGAAAGTGGTAAATGAATGCTGGCAGCAGCCTGCAGTGAAGAATGACAAAGCAAATTCATTTCCTAAGCACCAGGTGGAAAGTGGACTTTAGCCCAGTGTACTCCAACCCATCAGGCAGGTTCATAGCTCCTCCAAGACTGGACCGGTTAGATTACTGTCCCTCTGGGCAGTCCAAGAGCAGGAACAGACCAAACAGCCCCAATGTGCTGTCAGAAAAGGAGGGATGATAGCACATGTTCCCATTCAAAACATACTTAGCTATTATTAGCAAACAAGAAATTCTACATGAAATAGAGTTGGCTGAGATGATAAGAAAGGAAAAACAGTGACCCAGTATTCAACCCAGTCTGAAAATCTGAACCCACAAATTTCCTTGGTGCTTTTGCTCAAAAACTTAAATCTAACTTCAGATGGTTAAAGCACCCTGAAGAATAGAGGCAACAATGGAAAAAAAGCACAAGCAAAGATGGGTGGTGGTAATGGCTGCACAACACTATGAGTTATACTTACTGTTAGGGAACTGTACACTTAAAATGGTTAATATGGTCAGTTTTATGCTATGTACATATTATCACATTTTTTAAAACTTCTGTCTTTGGGCTCAGCTCCTAACCTTGGCTGTAGGGCTTTATGGAAGTAGTTCTGCCCTGGGTCAGTTTCACTCATCTGCAACACTGAGCTGACACACCTACTTCATTAAAATTGGCTGCGAAGATTGCTGAGGCAATGTGTGTAAATGTCCTAAGAGCAATTACTCATTCAACAATAATGAATGAGCATTTATCCCTGGTTAAGACACTTTGCCCAGGACTGAGGATTGTGTAGAAAGAGCCTAGGAGCCATGGTCCCTGCCTTCACAATGGTTATAGTCTATCAGATTGCAGCTAACCAGAAACAGTCAAAATTCCTAGGGCCTTTCAACCCAAGGTAGTATTTCTTACTTGGGGTAGAAAAAGGACTTCTGCATTCACACAACTGAAAGTGCACTGATAATCAGGTTAACCTGATTCCTAGAATTTAATGACACTGACATGTGTTCCCTGATAAAACAACAATGTTGTTTTACAGATGAGGTCACTGAGGCTATGACAGGTAGTATAAATTGCTCCAGGTTAGGCAATTATTAGAATTTAAGAAGCACACCTATTCAAACTTTAACTTACCAGAATTTCCCCAATGTATAAATACTCTGAACATCTGATTTTCTTTCTTTCTTTTTTTAAAAGATTTATTTTATTTATTTGAAAGGCAGATTTACAAAGAGAAGGAGAGAGGTCTTCCATCCGCTGGTTCACTCTTCAAATGGCTGCAACAGCCAGGACTGTGTCGCTCCCCGTCTTCGTGGAGGAACGACACAGGACCCTGCGCTGTTCTTTCGTCTGCTCGGCTCTCCCCGGGTTTGCTGCTGGTTCTTCCCGGGTTGGCTACCGTCCCTTCCACCTCCGTGGAAGGGCGGTTCCCCCTAGCCACTTTCCCCACTTCCGCGGGGGAGCGGCACACCGCCGGCTGGCTCTCTCGGGGGCTGCACAGGTGTTCCTTCAGATAGATGTTCCCCTTAGATGTTCCTGGTGCATGTTGTCTCTCTCCTCCTTTATAGTCCTCTTCCACCAATCCCAACTCTGCTACCCACATGCCAAGTACGCTGCTCTCCTCCAATCAGGAGTAAGTCCTACAGTTTATTGGTTGAACTGGAGGCAGCTGTGTAGAAGCTGTTTCTCCCTTCTCA